CCCGAAAAAAAAAAAAAAAAAAAAAAAAAAAAAAAAAAAAATCACTCACTGGTATTATTCTAATTTTATTTGGATCTACATAAAATTTTTAAGGCATTATCCAACTCAGAACAAGACATGTGGAAACAGAGAAGCCTGAGTATAAATTAGTAATCATCCTCTAAAACACATCAGGAAGAATACTCTCTTGATCAGACGATAGATGTGTCAGGGAAGGCGTAATTATCCGGTATGTTTTTAAGGATTACCTGTCTCTAGATTTCCTTTCTCAAGTGAGGCAATTACTAAGAGTAATTTTCCTGTCTGTGACTTTAAGGGCGCTTATAATATTAGGATGTGGATAGAAGCTTCAGGATTCCCTTTTCTCCCTCCTTTTTGAGAAAAATGCCAAGAAACTCCTTGGGGAGCATTATTGATTTCAATGTATCCCAGACCTTCTATAATAGGATTTATCTAGTTTGCTATATAGGCTCAGAAAGTGGATGAGTAAAAGGATGGATGTTGCAATGGATGAGTGATGCATGGCTGGATGCTAGATGAAGGATAAATACGTGAACTGAGATGAATAGATAGATGGATGGGTGGGTGGATAGACGGATGGGTGGGTGGATGGATGGATGGATGATGGAGGAATCTGGCAGTGGAACAAATGGGTAGACAAACAGACAAGTCCAATGAGATGTCAAGGAGTAATCAAGAAGTTACTAGTTACGTTAAATCACCATCTTGGTTTCTTTTAGGACATTCTTCTCTTCTGCTGGGCCTTTGAACAAGAAGAGAGACCTACCTTCACCAAGCTTATGGACATGCTGGAGAAACTGCCAAAGCGAAACCGCCGCCTGTCTCACCCTGGACATTTCTGGAAGTCTGCAGAGTAAGTGTTCCGCCTTAACATCTCTCCCCACTGCCCTGTCCTCTGGCCTTTGTCACCTTTTTGCTCCCCTCCCCAGCTCCTCTGCCAACTGTCTCCTTTCCGTGTACCCACCTCCCTCCCCAGCGCACCACCCTTCTCCACCGTGTTTCTGTTCAGGGGAATCTCCTCTGCAATTTGGGTCCTAGAGGCTGCCATACAGGGCCTGGATCCCTGTGGCTACCATGGCTGCCTCATTGCCTGTTTCCTCCTGATGAAGTTTGATGCCCCAGTAAGCCTGAGCATCACACGGTGAGGTGGTACCCTGAACCCACCAAGCCCTACATGTCGGCTGTTCATCAAAGTAGAAAAGTCCTGGGGTGTACCTATTTCACGGACGATAGACAGGCAAGGTGTCTGTGTCCTATTTCTGTACCCACGGCAGACATGACTAATCTGTCACAGTGCATCTGCCGTCACTCAGTGGTACTCATCAGCAGTTATTTAGAACCAGTGCATGGATGCCTTTCCTGGCCATTCCATATTTATCCAGCCTCCTTCTTTTACACATGGAGAAACCGTGGCCCAGAGACATTCAGCAACTCACCCGCATCTGCATGGGGTGTTGGTGACAAAGCTGGGGACACAGGTCAGGTCCCAACTCCCTAGTCTAGAGTTTGCTCTCCCCACGACATCAGCCCCTCTAGACTCCTCACTCACACTCATCCGGCTTTGAGATGGTCACTCTGCTGCTGTGGTCCTTTCAGAAACCACCTGCGTCGGCGGTGGATTGGGGGAGGGCTTGGCTACGGTAGGCCCAGGATCTGGGTCCTGCCTAGGGCTTTGTAATCTGCACAGGGGACCAACCAAGAGGCCTCATCTGCCGCTGGCACGTTCCCAGGAGGAAAGCAGCTAACTCACAGCTCGCCTCTGGGATCCCGGGTTTGCCCCCCCATGGCTCACGTCAGAGGAGCTGGCATTTCTAGAATCCCAGTGTGGCTTAACACGTGGTGAGCTGGAGGCAAGGCTGGGGCAAGCCTGCATTCCAGAGCGGTGCATGTCAAAATTTAATATGCATTCATATCACCTAGGAACTTTGTCAAAATGCGGATTCTCCTTCTGTATGCCTGGGGTGGGGCCCAAGATCTTGCATTTCCAAGGTGATGCCGACACCGCTGGTCCATGGACCACCCTTTGGACCTGTGTTGTCCCAAAACAGCCACATACCACATGGGGCTATTGAACACTTGAAGGGGGTGAGTCTAGATTGAGATGTGCTTTGAGTATAAAATCTACACTAAATTTCAGAGACTCAGGAAGTGATGGTTAATCCCTCCTCTTCCTGACCCGTAATCTTTCATCTACGTTCTGTCTGTGTGAATTTACCTGTCCTACATATGCTCCATGTAAGTGGCCGCATACAATATTTATCCTTTCGTGTTTGGCTTCTTTTACTCAGCATGTTTTCAAGTTTCATCCACAGTGTAGCATATATTATTAGACCATCATTCCTTTTTACGGCCGAGTGATATTCCGTTGTAAGTCTATACCACGTTTTGTTTGTTCATTAATCTGTTGACAGAGGCTTGGTTTGTTTGCACCTTTTGGCTATTGTGAATAGTGTTGCTGTGAACATTGGTGTATAAGTGTCTGTTCAAGTCCCCGCTTCCAGTTCTTTTTTTCATCACCACTACCACCAGCACGACCTCCATCATCTGGGCACCACTTATTAAACACGTGTGTGAGAGGTGCCGTGTCAAGCATTCTGTCTGCATTATCTCACTGAATCCTCAGGGCCCCCCTAAGAGGTAGTCTGGTACCCCCAGAGGAGGCACAGAGAGGTTAAGTGCCTATTCACAGGTCTCACAGCTAGTAAGGAGCAGAGCAAATATTGGAACCCAGATGGGTCTGACCCTAAATCCATGATCTTGACCCCTCCACTCTGCTGCCTTCTAGGCAAAGACTGCCTGTCTTTCTAGAACCATCCTGGGAGAGTGGGCATAAATTCTGCCCCTGACAGCCCAGATCCTGGCTCAACGGTAGTCAGCAAAGCCTCCACCCACAGCTGGAGTCTATGGTGTGGGTCTTTTCTCACCTCTGCTTCCTTTATCTCCATCCCTTACTGAGCATTCTCAGCAACTCCACATGGCACACGGGCTGCTGTTCCGGTTCCACGTGGCCTCAACCCAGCTCACAGCTGGGTGACCATCCTAGTCCAAGTGAGAAGAGCCTGCTGCTTCCTGGCTGTGCACCCTTGAGCAAGACACCTAACCTCTCTGAGCCTCATCTGTAAAAACAATGTAATGTGCCTTTCTTGCAGGCTATCCTCAGGTTTAAACGAGATCAGGTATGTGAGTTGCTTGGCACAGAGCCCAGCGCATAGTAGGACCTCCGCCTTTTCTTGTGGAGGGTGGGAACAGCTCATCTCAGACCACCTGGCCTCCGAGAGGGCGCTAATTCACAAAAGATGGCGTTGTCGTACCCATGTGACCTCTTGCCACTCTCTCCCTTCTCTCCGTGCTCCAGGCTGTGACCACTGGACAGAGGGACAGCGCTCAGCTGCCTCAGCTCCCAAGCCACATCTCCTCCCCCGCTCCGCCCTCTGCCAGCTCAGGAGGCCAGAGGCTCACCATCAGAGGGTACCGACCCCGGCCAGCCTGGGAGCGCTGCACGACTGAGCCCGGCAGCTTCCCCGCACCCCAGACCCACGCCTTCGCTCGGGCAGGGGTGGGGACCCCGAGCCAGGACTTCATGGGACCAGCCAGGGAGATGCGGAGTTGATCAGTGAGGCCCAGGGCACGGTGTAGACAAGAGAACTTTGGGCTGCATGTGGAGCCCCTGGGCCGTGGAGGCTAGGGCAGGGGTCCCACGCGGGCAGGCTCACAGGACCGGTCTGTGTGTGCGTGTGTGTCTACGTGCGCGACACCGTCCGCTCTCGATTGCCCTTGATGACATGACGGGAGTCAGGCTGTCCCAGGTCCGGGGCTGAGCGCCCATCAGCTGTTTCGGTGTCTGCGTGGTGGGTTCCAGCTGCGCTCTCTGGAAAGACGGGACGGGGATGCAGAGCTGAGCGCGCGCTTAGTGGAGGCTACGGGGCCGAGATCTGGGCGGGAAGCTCAGCTGTTCCTGTGCAAACATCTGTTCTCTGAGGCCCCCCCACCCCAAGCCTGTCAAGGTTTGGGCACCTCTGCGTATCGCTCCGAAGTGCATGTCTTCTGCGCTCTGGGTCTCTCTGGGCTACGCTTCCCCGTTTCCGCTGCCCTCTCCGTTCTGTGACAGCCTCGTCCCCTTTCTTCCTCGCTGCCCCCCACTTCCATTTGGAAAGCACAGTGGCTCCCTGGCCAAGATGACTTCAGGGGGCTCCTTCCAGCGCACCTTCATCCATGACGGCCCCCTGAAGTCTGAGCCTTGGGAACTGGGGTTCTGGGAGGGGGAAGTTCTAGGACATTCTTTTTCCCTCCCTCTGCCCTGGCACTTACACCAGCTAAGTTTAGCCACCACCATGACGGAGATGGGTCGTTGGGTTCGGTGTGTGTGTTGGGTTACCGGGCGTGTGCACGGCATCTTGTTTGCAAATGACCCCTCCCCCACTCCTGCTGCTTCACCCTTAAAAAGTCCAGCTGGGGACGCGAGGAGGGCAGCTGCTTGTCAGGGTTCTGCATTTTCAGCTCCAGCCGGTGCCGAACCGCAGAGCGGCTTCCCCGTTCGACGCCTGTGCACGCTCAGCGCGCCTGCCTTCCATCCCTCACCCTCGCTCCCCACCTGGCCCAGCTGCTCTTGCTGTAACCACACCAGGGTCCAGTGTTCTGCGCGGAGGTCGCTGGGAGCACGTCAGGTGCAGAATGACGGGGAGAGCCTCCATCTTACGTTCCTTACCTGACAAGGGAATGTCTTACGTTCCCCAAACCCCGGGCCCCATTCACCTGACCAGGCATCCCAGGGAAATCTGCCCCCCAGCAGGGCGCTAGCGGGACAGCTGGGCATTAGGCAGGACGCCCAGGCTCTGCCCACAGTCCCGCCGTACTTGGGCACTGCCCAGCCTTGCCTCTGGTCGCCACCTTATCTAGATGTCTCCCGCAAAGAGAGCGGAACTCCGACTTCAAAAACCCACCTGGGCTCAGACTCAACGTCCAACCAGAGATATGGGGATCTTCCCCACTTTGGTTCACGCTCTGGGGGGGCCAAGCCTGCTTCCAACCTGGGAAAAATGATGAGACCGGTCATGCTTCCCGAGAGCCTGGCTGAGGGAAACCCCAGAAGGCCTTCCTGGTTACTTTAGCAATGCTCCCACCTGCCTGGGACCAGAGGCTCCAGGCCCCCATGTGGGCCATTCCTAAACATTCCTCTTCAGGGACATCTGTCACTGTGGCCCTCAGCCCGTCATTTGCGTGTCTGGAGGCGTTGACACGTGTTTGCACAAGCCCCAGCTGCTTTGCTGTCTCTGCGGGCAGCTCTTGTCAGCGGCCGCCGCGCTGTTAAGGCAGGTCACCCAGCGGACCCGCCCCAGGCCTGAGCCGGGGCCTCCTGAGGGTCTCACATCTCTTTAGCCCAATCAGACTTCTTGGGTCCGTGGACCCCAGTCTTTATCATGGACCTCTGTGCGGGGCGGTGTGGGGCGGGGAATGAGCAAGGGGATGAGCAGCCTAGGTCAGCTCCCGGAAGCTGCAGCCCACTCCCTCTAGCCTCCGTTGTTTCCAGAATCAACTAACAGGGCCACCCAGAGCCTTTGGCAGGGCCCAGCAGCTTCTCCACAGGCTGATTTTTCCATTTGTTCACAAGCACCAGCTTGAGGTTAGGGGCGGAGCCTGAGGGACCCAGGGAGAAACCCCAGCTTCCCCTGCGCCTTTGGAGTTTCTCTGCCTGCAGAACAGGGTCCCACGTCACCTGCTCTCGCCTTGCCGCCTCCCTCTTTTCCCAGGTCTTTACTTTGTTCCCTCCTTCCTCAGTCTCCGCTGTAGCCAGTCCAGCCCACCCCCGCACCGCCCTCCAGCTGCACCCCCCTGAATTGTTTAGAAGCCAGCTTTTATT